TTCTTCACCGGAGGCCTTCCTTCGCATATCGGAATAACGGCGTCCCTGGGTTAGCACCCTAGACGTTGGCAGTTCCCGAGTCACGGTGAGAGGATGAGGGCAAACGGATCCTGCAGCGGATGCTGCTAAGGATTTTGCTTTCACCTCGAAGGGGTTCGGAGGAATAAATGAGGAACTGTGGAGAAGTAAGGAAAAGCTCCGGGTTGCTAGCTGACCAAATAATAAACGCCTCGGCAAGATGTCTGTCCCTTCTGCCCGCCGAGCTCATGGGGCAGCTGACGTTAGGACACCCTTTAGGTGACCTCTTCCCGCCTTTCTCTCAGCCCATCTTGTCTTATAAAACCGAGCGATTTAACTAGCGTGCCGGTGCCCTTTTTGCTGTGGTTTTGTCAGTCAGATGTTTGTGATTTGGGGCCAGCATCGGGGGCACTTTAGGTGAGTGGATAGGAGGGAGAAGAGAATTGCAGCAGATGGTTGAAATTCCAGAAAACTGCCCCGGCTAAGTCAGCCTCAACAGGAAAATTGTTCTCTTTCTGGGTGGGTATAAACCTGTAAGCTTTTCACCGTTAGTCCCCTTAAAAGAAAAAAAGCAGGGAATTGAAAGAGGGGCCCAAAGTCTGCTTACAGACTCCATCCCAACCATCAAACAGGAGTGAGTGTGTGTGTGTGTGCGTGTGTGTGTGTGTGTGTCACATATGGCAATCTGAAACAGTTAAACATATGAAGAATGTTTTTCATTCACAGATGGCAAAAAAAAAAGGCACTTTTTTTTTTTTTCATATAACACATTCCCAGGATTTGGAGCCAAGAGCCTCAAGGGAAGCTCACAAATCCACTCCGTGCCCTCGAAGACTTGAGTATATGTTTGAAGGTTTGCTTCAGCTAAAAGATGAGTAAAAACGTGGTTATTTCAGACAACTCCCCATTGGCTCCACGGGTCTAGGGACACTGGCTATTTCAACGGGCTGCAAGAAAAAGTCCAGTTTGTAACATTTGCTTCAGATGGGCCCACCTGTGTGAGCCAGCCGAAAGAACAGAATGTATCAAAGAACAGAATGTATCCATTGAACTGAATACTCCCCTTGACATTTAGCTGGTGCCTGGTGCCACAGCTCTTCCGTGAGGCCTCTGGGGCCACAGAGGGAGAGTGGAAACAGGTTCCTGACTAAAAATATTAGGTCCCTCTCTCCAGTGAATATAGCCTTGTCCAACAGTCCCTCCCGCGACAACAGGAACAAATCAGGCTAGAGTACCCAAGGCAGAGCATCACTGCTCAGCACGACTTGCAAAGACAATGAGTTCACTGGGGGCTTCTGATAGTAGGAAGGACGAGTTAATTAAATCTCGTTGTAAAATTAAGTAGCGTAACTATACATTTTGGAACCAACGCAATTATGCCTTATCACGAAGCGTTGTAAATCTTTGCAACTGTGGTGCACAATCGTTAGAAATTTACATGGAATTCTAGAACTAAAGGGGTAGGAGGGTTCACATAAAGGAGCGACTTCATTCTGTGAAGACGAAAACACAAACTGGAGGTTATAGGACAGACCAAATCCTACAGTAAGCTTCCTGACTCAAAAGCTAGTACTCCGGACTGTTCATTGATTTGTGTTTTGAATAAAACTGAAGTCTACAACAGGTAAAAATAGCAAGTAGTCAAAGAGCTTGGCTAAGTCACCACGCACATGCCAGCAAGTCCAACAGCCAGGCTTGCCTTTAGAACCAAAGCCATGGGTAATTCTCTAGTTGTGTGGTAGGAAAGGTAGTAGTTTTGGTAAAGGGAGCACCATCATGTGGAAGATGGCATCTAAAGTCAAGAGTAAATACAGGCGCCTCCCAGAACCGACACCAGAATTTGGGGGAATTCTTAGGCAAAGACTTGGGAGAATTCTGACCTCCCAAAGTTCCTTCTGGGCTTTCAGGTCACCGGTACTTTGTCCCGAGGATCCCACTCTCTTTGCTTCTCTGAATTTTGAACTTCTTTCCTTAAATTATGCTTCTGTGCTGTTGGGAGCCCCCTTCTTGGACTGTAGCCTAGAAATTCTTTCTAGGCAGAAGGCTGGGGCAACTGTAGGCCCATCTTGTTCATTTCTCCGCTGTCACGCACATGGTTATATTAGGGCTCTCTTGAGAAAGAACATGTTGAAAGGAACCAGCAGGACATGTGCCTATCGACCAGAAGCTTGAGGAATCTGGCCACACGGTGGAAGATGGAAGGCCTCTAGTGTCTGCAGTAGACAAGCAGAGTCTCGGGAACCTTGAGCGATGCTCACAGGTGAAGGAGCAGTCTCCAAGTCCAGGTAAAACAGATTATGTTAATGTCCAAAGGTAAGATAAACCCATAATGTCCAGGCTTGAAGACAGTATGGTCAAAGCCAGGTGGGGTAGTGCAGAGGTTCAGAGACTAAGACTCAGTTTCTTGCCTTTCTTATTCTCTTAACACCTTCAAGCTATTCGACAAGGTCTACCCACGTTAAGGGAGGCAACCTGCCGTATTCCGCCTACCAATTGAAATGTTGATCTCATCCAGAAACACCCTGACAGACACACGCTAATGCTTGGCCCAGCTAGCTAGACTGGTGGCCCAGTTAAGCTGACACATATAACCAACAAGTTGTCCCCTGCTCTCTGCCGTTCTATGACTGTAGATTACCATCTCAAATATTTGGTATTTTGTCCTTCTAAAAATTGTCTCCATCACTTAGGGTGAGAGAGCCTCACTTGTTTTTGTTTTTGTCTCTTATGGCCGACAGTGGAGAGCTGGTGTGTGCATTAATTTGAAGGTCACTGTCAAGTGACCTAGGGCAGGGGGGCTACCCTGACCAGCAGTGAATGAGAGGCCTGATCTTCCAGCCTCACACCTGGGATTTGTCATCCACCATGTGGACTCAGGCTTTTAGGGAGGCGTCCTTTCTGTGCGTGGTTTAATTGATTTATCTTATAATGAGCGGCAATGATAATCCTGACGTACCCTTGGCTTCGCATTCCTTTTTCTACGAAGCATTTGCTCATGTCATTTGTTCATTTTTATATTTGGCTTGTTAGCCTTTTTCTCTTCTCTACGAGTTCTTTAAATAGAGAAATTAGCGCCGTACGGGAGCTGCAATCCTTTCCCTTCTTGTGGCTTTTTTTTCTCTCTCACAACTTTTGCATGGAGAGGGTGCGCGTGTTTTTAATATAGTCAGATTTATCAATCTTTTCCTTATGGATTCTGAATTTTTAGGCACAGATAGAAAGACCCTTCCAAGGCCAAGACATGAAAGAATTGTCCGTGTGTTTCCTTTACGCTTAGTTCTGTGTTTAAGGCACTGATCTGGACGCACAGGGGCAAGCCCAGCTCCGATTTCCCTCCTTGCCCCATGCTTCTCGGCTGTTTCGACCCCTGTCCGAAAGGCCGCTTTCCATCCTATCCTTCACACCATGTGTGCTAGAATCCTTCTCTGTGTTCCTGTGCTCTTCCACGGTCTGTTTGTACGGCAGCCCCACGGAGTCTGAGTCCGAGTTTTCATTATGTTCTAATATCTGCTAAAGATCGTCTCTCTCACCCTTGCCCTTCCCATTTGTCCTCCCGAAATTTCCAGGTTATTTTTTTTGCCTGCTTGTCTATTTCAACTCCAAAGCCAGCTTGTTTAGGCCCAGACTCTGCTTCCTGGTTCCTTCATGGGGATCATGTTGAATTCATAATGAAGAGAGACCTGCCACATCCACTCCCAGCTTGGCCAAGAACATCTTGAGACTTCCCAGTTGCCAAAGGTCCAGGCAGGGAGAGTCGAACGATTTCTGACCATGGTCTTGTAGAATCAGCGCTGAGCTTTCTTGGACAGGTTTGGGCTGTTTTCCTGGATGCTGCATAATCCAGAAGGACAGCTGGAAACAGCTCAATGTTTTTAGGTGTTTTCTTTGGAGTCTTGTCAATGGCAAGGTTAATAATGTAAAATGTTGCGTGTGTGTGTGCATGTGTGTGTGCACACGCGCGTGCATGCATGCGAATAGGTTGTTCTGATTGACACCCTCATGTAGCTCAGCAAAGCCATATCATTACTTTAGATAAGAACGGCCCTATGCAAAAAAAAAAAAAAAAAAAGAAAAAAGAAAAACAAATCCAAACTGACCAACTTTTTTAGGTGTTTTCTTTGGAGTCTTGTCAATGGCAAGGTTAATAATGTAAAATGTTGCGTGTGTGTGTGCATGTGTGTGTGCACACGCGCGTGCNAAAAAAAAAAAAAAAAAAAAAGAAAAAAGAAAAACAAATCCAAACTGACCAACTTTGGCAATTTCTTTCTTTCCATTTTCTGCCACCCCTCAGCATGGCACCCCCTTCCTTTCCCTGAAGCCCACTTGAGCTACCAAGACTAACTTCATGACCTATCACGTGTTCCTTTAATCAAACCCTAGCCCTGGAAAGCAGCCCGCTGCATCAGCCATTCACACCTTAATACGAGAATCCTCCTGACAGGGAGGGGAAAGCGTGTTTATTGAAAAAGCATTTCGAGCACCTGGGAGCAATTAGACCAGGCAGGGGGAGAAGCCTGCTAGGTGCCCTGAAACATTACCAGGTAGAGCCGCACTCCAGGCCCCTAATTTCAGGTTTAAGAGGGCCCCACAGGCCCCGGGCGATGCTTTTGTCTCTTCCTTCCGTCACTCGGGGAAGAAGCCTATGACAAGACGAGAGTGATTCCGTCATGACCAGAAATGATTGGGCAGCTATCCAGAGTGCGTCCATTTCTCTTACCTGCCGGGGCTTGGCAGCGCGCTCCTGGGATCAGAGTCCATGGCACATGCCAGGAATGGTGTGATTAGGAGCACAACTAGGAAATACATTGCACACAGCTCTCATATCGCATGCAAAGCAATCAATCTTAACTTCTGGAGCCGTACCATGGCGGCCGTGTCTCCCGTTTTATTTATGGATTTGCCCTTGGACAGCAGCCAGTGTGTTTGTTTTTGTCCTCAGAAGGGTTTTGGTTATAATCCAGCCCATTTGACTCCCTTGCTGGGATATAACTGGCTCATCTCTGCCTTCCTCAATATTAGTGGACAACACCCATGCCATACTGTACGCTGTAAAGCTCACGTTCTTCTGATTTCGTGATAGAATCTCTTTGGCTCCGCTTTTCAGAGTTTTAAAGAGCAGGGAGAACACCATTTAGAGCCGGGTTCTTTCTGCCTCCATTTGAAGAGTCTGAGTCCCCGGCTCTTCAGAGGCCACCTTCTGGGAGGCCCCCCAACACTGCTCCAAACCTGCCAAGAAACCCTTGATGTGCTCCAGGCTCCATTCTCACCGCTCCCACCTTGGAATGGAAACTTTGTGCCTGCCTACAAATACTGCCTTGAACACTTGAAAAACCCAGCGCTCCCCTCAGGTGGAACGCGAGTCTTTGGAACAAACGTGAAAGGAATTCGTTAAGTGAAGTTCCTGAACGTGAACGCGAGCGAGGCACCGAGAGTCAAGTGCCGCACGCACTTCATTACTAAAAGCTGCTGCCTGGGAGTGACTGCCTCAAGAACACTGCGGAGCGAGGCATGAAAGGCGCCGATTCCGTTCCCTCTCAGCTTCCCAACTTCAAGAGACCCGTCCTAGAGACTTGGGATGACCGAGGGAGGTTGCAATTCTGACAGTGGGAGCTGTCCATGCCCCAGTCTTACCCCTCTTTCGAGTAGCCCAGGCAGATTGGTCTCTGTCCGTCTCTGTACTTCTCATTCTGCTTGAGTATATGAGCACCACTAATCAGGTATGAAATCGCTCTTATTTGGAACTGGTGGGTTTTATACTAAGCCCGAGTCTGGGCCTCACTTTTCTCTGGGGTGGCAGTTGCAAGGACTTAAGAGGGACACCGATGGGTACTGAAAGAGTGGAAGGATGACTGGTTGACAGTAGTCTCTTCCTTGATCCTTCCTGCCGCTTCAATGCCCCGCCCACCAAAGTCAACATCTCTCAGCTTCCTGAAGTCATGCTCAATGATACGGTTTCTCCCTTTCATATCATGGGCTATGCAGAAACAAGGGCATCTCCACAAGCCATCGAGAGTTCTTCTTGTCTCTAGAGTCGTGGGGCAGACAGCTTCACTCTGTGGGAAAAGAGTGCTCCGGGCTCAAACTCTGAACAGAATTTTCAATTTGCTTTTGCCTCCTGCGGCCTCCGCTGGGAGTCAGAGGCACACAGCAATCTGGGGACCTCCCACACCCTGTCTGTGTTCGCAGATGCTTCTCCGCTCTCTTCCAGGTTCCCCAGCCCAGCACATTCTCATCTGAGGAGTTAAGGAAAGAGAAGAATACATGTTTGACCGTCTCCACTCAAATGCATGATTCCTACACCTTCTTCAAGAGACTGAAGGTCCTGAGCTCTGGGGCTTTGCTGTTTATAATTTCAGGTGTACACGCTTAGGGTTTGCAGTGTGATGATTAGATATGCATGTACATAGTTTATTGATGCAGTTAGAATGTCTAACACTTTGATCTGCTTGAATATTTAATGTGTTTTATTGATGTGTAATAAATGTATTGGCTCATAAGGCACACTGTATATTTCAAGACTGTATGAAGCATAGTGATCAAGTAAGAGCAATTGGTACTTCCATCTCCTCGTTATTGTTCATTTGTACTCTTCCTGGTGCTCCCCTCTTCTGCTTATTTATATAATAAAGAGTATAGAATATAGAAATATATCATTGACTGTTTGAGCACTGTACAGAGCTAGAATGTGTTTCTTCCATGGACTGTGTTTTTGTGCCCATTATCCAATCTCCCTCCACGATTCTCCATGCAGATCAAATGTTTACTTTTCCACGTATGAGAGAGAACATGCAGAGTGTGTCTTTCTGTGTCTGACTTAGTTCACTGTTGTGGTGTGTTATTTAATTACAGAAAGATGTGTCGCATTTGTTTCTGCTGTGTGATATCACTTTAACTGTGCAAAGGTGTGTTCCTTTTGTTTATGCTGCATTCGACAATGTAAGTGTGTATGTTTTGTTATGTACAGATGTGTCTTGTCTGTTTCTCCTTGCCTGCCTAAAGCCTCTGACTGGTCTAATAAACACCTGAAGGACATATAGTTAGGCAGGAGAGAGGATAAAAAAGTCTGGCAGGCAGAGAGGATAAATAGGAGGAGAAATCTAGGCTTGAGAAGAACAGAAGAACGAGAGGAGGAGGAGGAGAGAAAAAGGGACGCGTGGGGGAAAGAAGCCAGGCAGCTGCCAGCCAGCAGAGAGAAGAAGCAGTGAAAGTGAGATGAACAGAAGGAATGAAAATAAGAAGCCCAGAGGCCAAGGGTAGATAAAGAGAAACAGGTGACTTTAAGTTAAAAGAGCTACAAGAGCTAGCCAGGAATGAGCCTACGCTAGGCCAGGCGTTTATAACTGAGAAGTCTCCATGTTATGATTTGGGAGCTGGCTGTTGGCCCAAAAGGATAAAAAACCTGCTACAGTTCACTTCCCATAACAACCCCTAATCCCTTCCATTTTGCGGCAGATTATAGAATTTCCATCTTTTCATTCTTTTTACGTTGCAGTAATATGTGTACATACCTAGATTTTCTTTGTCTCTTTATCTACTGATGTCAGCCCAGGCTTCGGGGAGACAAAAGCCAGGATCACAGTTTCGCTTTTCATCCTATTAAAGGTGTTCTTCCAACGAAATGCATCTTAAGTAAATATAAAATGAATCGAGCAATAAGTATTGTCTTACCATAAAAAGTAGCTTAATAACCCCTGCCTGCTTGCTTAAGGGTGAGACATAGCAGATCTGAGTGAAGGGCCGGTGAGAACTCTGAGTTTGGATGCGAATTTCACATAAGCCTGATTGGAGGCGTGTTGGTTTCTGTGCCTTCTGAAGCCCTGTGGTCTGCAGTAAGATCTTGCTACCATTCGATCCTCAGACACATCTTTTGAAAACAGTTTCTTTTTAACTTTTACCATTTAGCATTCAATTATTTTATTTGATACGAGAATGAATTTCAAAATACACATTTTTATAATTTTATTTTTTCAAGAAATATTGTCATTTCATACTTTTCCTTTTAATTGCAATTCTCTTATATATTTTGGGGTCATAATTCTTATTATAAATATAGTATTTATATTAATTGTATACATCAGAAATACAATAGTTGCCCCAAATACTCAAAATGACCTGTGACAAATGATATGAGAAACGTTATTTTGAAATTTGTAAAGGCAGTCACCGCAAATACCAATGCTGGGCTCAGTATTCAGCGATCCACAAGCCGTACAAATGTACAAGCTTTTAGACACGTGCGCACACTCTCGAGTGCGAGCTTTCTTAGGGAGCAGGAAAGGGAATGGTGACCAGAGAGAGCGTTAACATACTTAGCTTTAACAGACAGTACTGCTAAGTGCTTAGTGCTTCTCAAGCCAAGCCACGCAGACGTTACTAGCTCCATCTGCACAGAGAAGAACAAAGGCCCAGAAGGACGAGGCGGCTTACCCAAGGCTGCCTTTATATTTATCAGCACAGCTTGACCTAGAATCCAAATGAGTCATTCTCTGTAGCCCTGTCTCTTCTCAGTGAGCCCTCATGGCGGTCAGCTCTGTGCCCACAGCACAGCAGGATCTAGGCAAACTCACTTCGCATTGTTTCCTTTTTATGGGCTTATAAAAATCCACGCCAAGGGCTTATCTCGAAGGCATAAAATGGAAGGCTCTAGCCAGCTACACACGCCGAAGCATATTCTATCCATTTCACACATTGAAACCAGACTGGCTATAAGCGATCTTGCTGAAGAGATTCTGATTGGATCGCGCAGCCTTTCAAGCTAGGATCCAGGTCTTTAGCGAGAACTAAACTATTTTTGCAATCCATTGAGTGGTGACAGAAGTTCACTTCTCACTGCCACAAATTTCCCAAGAGAGCTAACAAAAGCGTGCAGCTTGGTAACGTGTGGGAAAGCGCAATATCCTCCCCACAAGGTAGAAGTAGTGGGCCACGCTTATTAATAAGCCACGTGCGCACGCAAGTGGGGCGGGGCCGGGCAGGAGGGCAAGGCTGGGTCCTCACACGGAAGATGTGCGGACGAGCTTAGAAAGAACTAGAGAAGCTGCATTTTGGGCAGACAGTCACAATGGATTCACTTCTGACACTCAGATTAGCAGCTAGCAGTACAAATGTCTCTATCTGGGATCCAGGCATTTTAATTTTAAAATTGAATTTTTTCTTTTTTCTTTTTGCAAATGTTACTCATTTGTTAACACTTTCGCTTCCTAGAGCCTCCTTTGGTCCCTCTTAGGAAGGAAACTCCTACTTTGGTCTAATTTTCTTGAGTATTTAAGCTTTTGCTTAAAACGCTAGGTAAATATATAAGGCTTACATAACTAATAACTTAATAACTGGCCTGCAATGTTTGTTCCTTCATTAAAACCGCACAACAGACAGACCAAAAGCTCTCAGGTGACCCGGGCACAGATCAAGCAGGGTCATTCTTTAGCAGCTTCTCAGTTTTCTGTTTTCTAACTAATCAGTTCCTAACCTGAACGCTGAAGAGAAAGTCTTTGAAAGATGCTCATAGAAACAGAGCCAGGAACTAACCAGTCTGGTACTATCTGCTTAACCAACAGCACAGCCCTGCCAAAAAGCCACCGCTGGAGGAGCCTGTCCACAACCCAACATTCTTTCAAAGACACAGGGAAAAAAGTATTTCTTAAAAGTATTTTAAGAAAACTACAAAGTTCTAGGCGAACATTTTAGTTACTACTTTACGTAAAATTCAGTGCCTTGCTGTGACTATCTCTGTTACTCCAGAGACATTTCAGGGACAGGCTCAGAATATCCCAGAAGGAAGAACAGAGGCTCTCAGGTCAGGAGCCCGGGTTCCAGGCCTGGACCTGCTCCTTCTTAACTAGGGCATCCTTAGGCAGTAGCTTCTTGCTTGATCTTACCACTTTTCATTTCTTAACTTTGAAAACTTAAGACAACAACAAGCGTCGTGTGGCCAAGCAAGGTCATGTTTGAACGTCTTCTCCATGTCCAGGATACCTCAGATCTGAGATGCTCCGTGTTTACAACAATGTAGCTTCCTTCCGTTCATCGCACACTTCTCTGACATCATAGACAATTTCAACTGCATTAGGCATCAAATAAGCCTTCACTTGATCAGCCCTGTAACCCCCAGCAGCGCTGTGAATGTTTCCTTCCTTAAAAAAAAAAATGCATTGATTTGCAATCCGATATTTAGCCCACCCCCCAACTTTGTGAAGTACAGCCCACTGCCTTCCTAGAATGTTGGCCCACATTGCAAAAGGAGTTATTAACACATGGGCTTTGAAAAAACAAGGTCAATCTCTGCATCTTTAGCACCACAAACAGTGAAAATTTAGGAAGTTTTCTGGACCCCAGCTATTGAGCTGGATGGAATCGAAAAATATACCCTAAAGTAAAGGGGGTGAGGGGAGGAGCTGTCTGACGTGATTATGACCTCCTGACCTGGGAAGATCCTGCTCAGGGTACTACCACCCACTGGAAAAGGAAGTCGGTGCCTCACATGGATCTGGATGCAGAGGCAAACTACAACTCTGCTCCCCCGTGATGCTGGCCGTCCACTTCTGTTTGTGCAAGCGTGTAACTAGGTGATGTTAAGAGAAGAGATAACACAGGTCAGTTTTAGATGGATGCGCAACTCTATGGCATTTTAGTAAGAGTCTTTAAAATTATAAAAATCCCTTTAAAAATGAGACAAAGAACTTCTTTAATGTCTCTTCATTCTGAGTTCCCTAAACAAAACCTTGTTTGAGTTAGTGTCTCATTCTGTCATAGCTCAAGCATGCTTCAAAAAGGAAGTGATACATGAAAGCCGGTATGTTGTGACACCTTAGTGTGGTTCACTCAGGTGTCCCCCGATCAGAGCGAGGCTCTCATGGCACCTAACATGCGTGCTGGTATCGGGGGTGAAAGGCAAGACGTCGGTTTTAACTCCACGTTGCCATATCCTTAAACAATGCATCAAGCATGGAAACGTTGAAAATATCTTTCCTTCTGTCGGATTTCGCTTTGGTCGATCCAAATTTGGCATCACTGCTCTCTGAAATATTTTTAATTGTTGAGCAGTTGGTGATTTTAATAATTTACTGTAGAGGAAAGGAGAGAAAGAAGTCAGAACTTAAAACACAATGGCAAAAAAAAAAAGTTAATTTAAGTTGATGTTTGAGTTTTAAAAAAAATGCAGTGATGTCACATGATTGAGCAGGTTAATGGAGATGACAGGATTTCTCTGGATGTGCCGTGGGGGTGTCTGGGGTCAGCCTTTGGCTCCTATGCCCCCAGTTAAACAAGCTTGTCAATTTTCCACCAGATTGGTTTTTATCACTGGTCTGAAGGCCTTGTCTTGTTTTGCCTTATTTCCGCGAGGCTCTTAGCATTGCAGACATCTATCTGCTTCTCTTCCACATCGTGAAGACTGGATTTGGTCTCTCGAGAATAATCTAGCGGGCAATGCTTGTCTCTTTGCATTTCTTAGTTTCCTCTGTTGGAATGAGGGGCCTTTGAAGAGTGGTCACGGTTACTGTAGCAGGCTTCCGTTTCGTGTCTTACCACCCTGATATCTGCTTAGAATGAAGGTGTGAGCTCAGGTGGGCTGCCCCATGGAAGACAAGTTGCTAAGCACCATTGTGAGGAGATGCAGCACTGGTCTTCAGGAGGCAATGTAGACCTGCTCCTG